ATCAGGCAAATGATAATCCAAAATATCATCAGGATCCAACAGATCAAGCCTTGACAATGAATGCTGAACTTGTGTTCTTTTTAGTTTAGCCTTATGCTCGTAGTATGTTAATTCTGCATCGGACAGAAGAGGTTTCTTTTTCAAACCACATTTTTCCTCTGTAGGGCTATCCCAGACATTACATCTGTGTTTTCCTTCCTGATACTGGAACAGCTGGCGGATCTGATGAGCTACCATGAGGAACTCATCTTGTGTTATTTCACCAGATGTTAAGCGTTCATTGGCCTGTAATATAAAGTTAAAGTTTAGACTTCTAAAAAGAAAAGCAAAGCAAACTATACCCAGGACACATCTATGAAGACAGATTTGTTAATATTACCTTCTTAAGTAATTCTCTCTTGCTTGCAGATGTCAGTTCTTTGGGAATCTGTAAATTAGCATCCACACTTAACCGGTGCTGCTGCTTTGGTGCTCGGGGTGATAAAATTCCTTTACCAGCAGGCCAGTTTTCCCGGTGTCTTTGGTGAGGGGATTTACCAAGTGCTTGGTGTTCTTCACTCTGCTGTGAGCTGAAAGCAAAAATAGATTTAAAATACAGATTACTTCTTTATTCAGGACATAACTTGTTACAGTCCTATTAGAACCGATCATGGCAAAACATCACTAGCACCTTAGAATCTAAGTATGCATAATTTCCCTCTCTCTCAGTAGCAGAAAGAAGTTAAACTTATCAATTTTAACAATCTGAACATTGCCTCCCAAAGCTGACTATACTGAAGTCAGCAGTAGGACTTCCACCAACTTCGAACAGAAATTGCTTAAAAGATAGTAACTTACTTTTTATTTTCTTCCCAACCAGATTTCCACCTCTTGCCTGATTTGGATCCTTGCCAGTTTTCTGCATTCTCCTTTGGATCAGGAGAAGCTTTTGTAGAATGCTGGCTTGCTGTTTCTTGAGGCCTGTCTTCTTGGGCTTTTTTCACTCTCCTCGGATCTCGCACCTCCTGTTTAGCATTTCTCTTATTAGAATTTCTTTCATCTCTTGCTGCTTGTGTTCCTTCTTCAACATGAGACTGCTTAGGACCTATCTGACGTATCTTTCCAATTTTAGGAGTTGATGAAGTGGGAGATAAACTCCTAAGTCGTCTTTTGGGTGATCTCCTCTCTCGTCTTTTTGGAGAATGTGTAGATGGTGACCGTGCCTTAGGAGAGCGTGATCGTGACCGTTTCCTATTACTTGATCTCCCTTGTTTTCCACCCTGCTTTTCTGACTCCTCTGTAGCCGTGTCTTGTTTCTGAACAGCACCATTAATTACTTTATTTCTGCTCCCTACTGGTCTATGTTCACATGTCTTATGTTCCTCTTTCTCTTTTTTCTCTGTACTTCTCCTCTTTTCTTTCACCTCCTCCTCTTTGCCCTCCAACTTATCTTGAAGATGTCTTTTCAGTCTTGGATCTCGCTTACTAATTTCAGATACTTTTGTGCTTTCACATTCCTGGGTTTTAGTATCTTTAGTATTGGGTAGCTTATTTTTTAAAGGGGATGGTGACTTAGATTTTGCTTCTGACTGGTCAAGTTCTTTCTTCTGTGTTTTTTCACTTGCTTTTAATTTTTCTTGCTTTGTTGAGTTTTGTTTTTCAGCCTGTGTTGTTTTGTTTGCCTTGGCATCAGACTGACTGGTCGTGTTTGGTGGAAATTCTTTCCTATGAGATTGATCTTTAGTATGAGAAGAATGTTGAGCCATCCTATTAAGTCGAGGATCCCTATTCACTATTTTGATATCATGAAGGGGAGGACTTGGGGATGGTTTGGTTTTTTCGGATTGCACAGCAGTCTGATGAGGTGGTTTAACTGTCATATGAGGTGTAGGAGACATGTGTTGCTTGGAAGGTGCTGGAACTGAAGCTATAGTAGATGAACCTTGCTGGACGCTAAGAGATACAGCCTGAAACAGGAAAAAATCCAGCATTAATCTGCATGACACCACTCCTACCCAGAGATGGTCACATTTTGTCTCGAAACCGAAACTGTAAATAGAAATGTCTTGGAAGTTGTGAGATTCAGCTATTTAACTGAAAAGGAACCCATTAATTGCTAATTACAAGTGTTAAAACAATGCAGTACCATTACAAAACACCAAATTAAATGTAAGGCAAAATCAGTACTACAAAGTCAATACTGCAAAACATGTAACTTAAGACACATGTTCTCATTACCGCGTTAGTTTTTCTATATATTCCACATGCTCAAGGCAATTAAGCTGCCAAGTATCTCATCTAATTTTCATATTTCTGAACTTCAAAGATCCTTTATTTTGGACATAGCAAGACTTTCAATTACTAATGTGGAACAATACAGCTTAACCACCACCTTCTGATGGTGGCATCGAACCAACCTAACCTAATGAGGAAAGTGACGTTATTTCCAACAATCAGGATTCCTTGTTCTGTAGCAAGAGCAAATATATTTGAAAAAGCCTGGCTTGCTGTGAGTGATGAGGTAGAAGATGAGGATCACAGGCAGACATCATTTTGGAAAAGAAGTTAAAATCAGAACCACAAAAACTTCACTTCTTTTACCTCTATTCTGAGTGTAATTCTTAAGGTTTTTAGGTAACAAAACTGTTCAGGAACCAGAGATCAACTTGCATTGCTCTAGTCCTAAAACAGCTATACTTGCCTAACATGAGGCAAAAATAGTGTACTGCAGTTACCAGTATAGCTACGTACTGTCCAAAAGAGACCCAATTATAAAAGTTTCATCAACTACCCTACTCACCAACTGTGCTTTAGTCTGTTCCAGCTCCAGCTCTAATTTTTTTTGCTGAAGTTCTAACAACTGCTTTTGCTTTGCAAGCAATTGCTGCCTTATCAGTTGCTCCTGTGTCAAATTCTTTTGTATTTCAGGAACAGCTGGAGGAGTAGAGGCACCAGAAGTGACAGCAGAGGTAGGTGCAGTAGATTCCTCTGGCTGAAAACAGAATAAAAGAAGTTACATTTAAAATCCTGATGGAATCATCCAACTCCATCTCCTTTAACCGTTACCATGATCTAATACTGGGAGTTGGTTTGTGGGACTTAAGTTTGTATAGCAGTTATAAATTGCATTTTCAATGCAAAATATAACTAACTATTTAAAACTTTTGCCCCACTAGAATTTGCCTGCTGTGACAGGTATATGTCATCTGATATAAATTCAGCAAAGTTCCAAAATCTAGAATAGTTTTGAAATATAAAAACCCAACCCATCAAATATTCTGAATTCAGAAATTCCTCTTACCTGTCTACAAAGGTCAGATACTTCATTTTTAATATACTAAATTGTCAAAAAGCAGCATACAAACAATGAAAACTACACATATTACCATCTGCTCATACAGTAGACATAAAAACTTACCGATTTATTTAAAAACTTAGGGTTCACATGGATGCTAGAAGTATTCACATTTGGGGGCAGAGGTTTAATTGGCCAAGCAGGATCTAATGAGTTGACTCTGACATCAAGTGCATATAGTTTCTTCAAAGGAAAAATATCATCCCATGTGGAGCGTAATTTAAATAAACTTTTCCTAGTATTTTCATCCACCTAAAACAATAAAACAATTCTATGGCTTGTTAAGTTAATATAAAACAATTTCTTAAACTTTTCTGTAGAACTTAAGACTTCATTTATTTCCTATTTCTATCAACAGTTTGCCATTTTAACACATTGAACTTGCTACAACAGAATTTATAAGCAGTGCAGATCATACATCTATACCAACGGAATCGGTAACAGAAGCTCAAATGTGGAATTGTTGTTTCAAGGCCATTTGAAGGTTTTATTGTATATTACCATTCTCTGAGAATTTTCTTTCAACTTTTCCATTACCAAAATTCTCATTTTACTTGCCCAATTTCTGTGGAAAAAAATACAGTAACAAAAATATTGAAAGGCAACAGCCTCTGAGACAATACATTATTCAAGCGTTTGTGCTGAATGGAGTATAACAATGACAAACAAATCAGGAAACAACAAACTGTGAACAGAAAAGGTGTTTTGCTCAGCTGTTTAGGCACTGAGGATTTTTTTTCCAACAAATGCAAGAAAAGGGGTATTAGCTAAAATGAAGTCAATTATATTTCAGTTCAGCTGCAGAACTAGACCCATCTGTGAGCCACAGATCAAGCGTAGGACCAGTGCCCATTTTCTCTCTTCACAATTAGTTTGGATTATCTCATGACAGGTAAGCTAGAAATTGACAGTAAAGCAAAATTTAGTTCATGTCATAACTTGAGAAGTTCAATTAAACAATAAATGAAGAACATTTGAGGACAAATTATATGCAGCTGTCCTAATGTCAATATCCCAACTCAATCTTTAAGTTTTGACTATGTAGATGGGTTTTGCTGCAGTTTTATTTTTAAGATGTTACAGCAAGACATAAATAGTCTGGGAAGTTCAGAGGTTCTTTCAGGGAAGAGCAGGAACTTCAACAAAAATAATTCATACTTAGTTGTTGGGGGATATGAAGTTCACTGCAAAAAGTGCAGAAGTGACTGAGCAAAAATTTCTGACTTTATCAAGCGTCTGAAGATACCTTAGTGACCATTTACTGATAAATTGGTAACAAAGTCAGTGCTGGAATCCTACCTGCATCTTTTAACACAACCAATTAATCTCTTAGAAGTGACGTCCACTTTACACATTTAATTAATCCACATTAATTAAATCATTCTAGTTAACTTAGTAGACAGTTAACTTATAAAACTCTGAAAATCAGTTAATGTCCAGAGCTTCAGCTGCAACATTAAATGCAACTCAGTAAAAGAATATTCACAATTTAATACTGAAAAATAAAGTGTCTACCTATCTATCTACTCTACACACAGGAGTTTAAGTCTTCTACGGTCATTATTACAATCTATTCCTTATTTCATCATGCATCTTACATTTGAAAAACACATATAAAGCATACTGGGACCCTAGATCCTTGCTGATACGTAAGGATAGATAAATATGCAAAAGCTCCGTTCATCTCATTCATACGAGATGCCACTGTCTTATAGCATACAGGAAACCACAGAAGTTAACCCTTTGTTTCTGATCCAACTTAAACCCATTCAAGTCCAGCCTTTCAAAAACCAGGACTTTGATTTGCCTTTCTCACTGAGGAGTAAGCAAAATTACTGGGTTTAACGATTAAGAGCAAAACCTAAAAGATATGCAGCAGTTTTCAATGTTAAATTAAATTAAAACACATACTTATAATGTAATATAGCAATACAGTCTAATACCCTTCCCCCCCAGCACTTTTTTCAAATTACAGACCACCAGGAGAGAATCAGGTGTCAGTGCTATTCACTCTTCACAGTTTAAGCACTCATTTTGTGCATCAGAAATTAAGTAAATCAGACAAATCTAACTACAGGAGAAAGAAGCTGTGAGAAATCCTCAAGAAACTGATTCTCAGTCTATTCTTGGTATAAAGACTATTTACTATCTTAAAAAATAAACCAACAATTCATAATTAATTGGTCTATACATTACAGAAAGTCCATCCAGGTGAGCAACTGGTAACCAAAACACTGTTAGTAAAATCTTGCCTGGATAGGAAAATTACAGACATTGAAGAACCAAATTAAGTAAGACTTTGCATCTTTCAACTAATACGTAACTTACATGCTTGACAGCAGCAGGAACAATCTTCCACAGTATAGATACACTACTGAGATTTATAAAAAACAATCAATTTGTATAGTTCACCACCCAAGAAAACCCAAAACTGAAAGCATGTATTTATTTTACCAGGAACAAATTTTGCTTAGAATACAGAACTTTTCTGAAAATGTATATACCTTTTCAAATACACAAATAAATGTTGCAACTAGGTTTTTAGTAAATGCAGTAAGATATTCTCTTCCCACATTCTTGACAATGGAATCCATAAGATACATAACAGGGAGCTTCTCTGATGCAGGAGCCTGGAGCAATAAGAAGAAACTGAGAAGTTTAGTACAACAAAAACATATTTTAAACTTTTTAAATAAAGGGATTACCAATCCCAGAAATACAGACCTCTCTTTCTGGTTGCCACTATAAACACCAAGGGATTTGGCTTGGGATTTTTTGTTTATACAAAAACTTAACTTGGAAAATCGATACTCAGTTCAAAGTATAGCGCAGTGGGTCTATCACACAAAAAAAGGAACACCTTAGGTTATTTCGTTTGCTTATCAAAGCCTTGGAAAAAAGGGGAAAAAAAAAAGGAAGAAAAAAGAAGCCCACAAGACAGTATTGCTGCTAGTGTACTGAGTGTAACCTTTCAAAACCCACTTGAGAAAGTATTTTAAAGTTAGCAGGAAACCATCGTTAGCACTTCAAGGAACTTCTAAAAAACAGTTTGTAATTCAAACCTCCTGAATGCTTGTTTTTCTGGATTTCACAGAACACAAATCAGACTTCTGGCAAATAGCCCAAATCACTGAACTTCTGTAGCCGTAGATTATGTGTCGAGTATCACAGTCTTTTCATATACTACACGGAGAATAGGTCGCACCTATTTCACTGTAATCCAAACAGACGGAGCAAGGAGTCCCACTCTCTCTTGGCACTTGTAGACAGCAAAAGTTCAGATCTCCAGAGTGCATGCAAAAATGCACAGTCAGAACAAAGTTCAAAATCCAGACAAAACTGAATCATGTACTTGACCAGGTAAAAGCACAGACAAGCTCAGGAACTGCAACCACGATTTTCACAGAAGGGAGTCTTCAAACTCTGGACACATCTTTGCTACAAGAGGAGGCTTGGGTTTTGTTGTTTGGCTTTTGGTTGTGGTTTTTTTTTTTTTTAAATCCATTTTCAAAACTTGTAGCAAGTTTGTGCGATAGAAGTGTGGTGACGCTGGACCGCTACAGCGACTTCTAATGTACACAAAGCACTAGAGGCCCAAATCAAGGTGATTTTAATGCCCACCATTGGCTTTCACAAAGCAGAAGGCACAGCAAAGTTCCAGAACACACCAGCAAGTACACAGACTTGTTGAAGAGGACAACATGAAAGACAACACCACAAGCTGTGTGTTGACCATGATCCCCTTAGAAGAGCATCCACTCATAATCAAGTCCCATTCACCATCCGGTAAACTCAGGGTAAAACCAGAAGAACTTCACTCACTGCTCATTTAAAACAGGCTAGGCTACTAGGTTAATTAACGACACCTTACTTCGCAGGCCCATTGTCCAGGCAAGTGTATGGAAGTGCTCTTGCTTTACAATTTTAGATTTAATTCCTTCCCCTTTAAGGTGGTTCACAGAAGGGCACCGAGTCAACAATACTTTTATATGGGTAAATCACACAGTTTCCTCGCCCTTAGATGTGTATTAATTTACCATGACCTGAAACTTAATATTGAAGCGGGCAGAATTCCTTGTTAGTTGGGGGCAGGGGGGTCACTGCCTTTGAGCGTACTGAAAAAAGGTAGAAACAGGCAGGTGGCATATTTCATACACATAAAGACAGAAAAATGCAGTTAAGTTAGCTAAAGCTAATTGCAGCACACTAAAAGCCTATCTTACACTATGATGCAATACTGAGCTGCAAACAAGCTAACATGCAAGTGGTAGAATAAAGGCATCTCTCTAGTCTCGGAAATCAAAGACTGTGGGTCTACAGCTACTTAATATTAAAATGCCTATGGAATACTGGTTTCTTCTTTAAAGCAGTCTGTACAATGGCACATTAAAAACACTACTCTAAGTTCTGAATGCCTTCCTTTATAAAACATATGACAGTGCACCGTTTCTGACTTTTAAAGTCAGCTGTTAGGGAAACAGAGTGTCTCAGAAGTACCTATGCCCAAGAGCTACTGACACAGGATGTTATGTTCTTCCATTTCACCAATGTATGGAAGTTATACTCAGCTAAGCTTCAAGTTTGAAACGCTGGGGAATCAATTTAGTAGCAAAGGCACGGTAACAAATTTAACTGTCACTTTCATTATGCATCAGACTGTTAAAAATAATCATACATAGAAGCACCGTAATCTAGTAAGGAAGCCTACTTCAAACTACGGCACAGAATTAGCTTAGCATACCCTGCTTCAAATATAAGCTACTCAGGTGTCACATTTTAAGAACCATGACTTAAATATGGTTGGAATATTTAAGTCTTCTCTTCTGGAAATGTTTGTCACAGTATCTAGCGCATATTCCAGTAACCACAGAAGGGGATCCCAGACTTGAATGTATTTTGTTTTCAGGTGGCCTATCCAGTACCCCCTAGCAAGAAAGACGCCCGCACGACACTAACCAAAAGGCAGGGAGGCGCCGCATAATCACCAGAACACAGAAGAACACTAACTCTGAGCTCATCAGAATAATATTAAAGACTTCATTACATAATTCCCACTGTTCCTTCAAATAATGTAGGAAAGCTATTGTTGGAAATGTGTGGCTCTTTTATTAGTTTCCTAAAAGATTGCAAGTTTAAAATCATATCTGGCAATCGAACCCCAAGTCACAAACTTGTGCAAAAATTTGTTTAAAAAAACAACCTTGTATACAAAAATGGGTCTTGGAAACAAATTCTGCACTATACAATGGTAAATAAAAAGACAAATACATATTTCACACTTTTTATTTACAAATTTTATAATACCAGTCACACATTTCAGAACCATTTATTAAATTGTAAAGCAGACCACTCAAGTTTTACACTAAACAAACTGTCTCCAGGCAACACTTTTTAAAAGTGGCTTAGTAAAGGAGATCACTTTCCCAGAAACAACTAAAAACTTGCCTTGAATAAACCACAGTCACAAACAGTAACTAGGCAAAACTAACCATTGATACAGGATTTAAGACATCTTTAAAAAAAAAAACCACACTTCAGGGCAGGCTCTAAATCACCCAGAAATGAAAAAAAAAATTTGACAGCATTGATATTTATCACAAATCATTTTATACACATCCACTGCCCTTTAGCAGATATAATGGTGAGATCTATTAGATTATGAGGTCACCTCCCCAAGGAATGGCAAAACTCAGCCACTGGCAGCATTTAGAACTAGACTGGAAGAAGTCTGTGGAACACTAAAAAGCCATCCTGCATTGATAGAAAGACAGATTAAATAACTTAAGAGATCATTCCCTCCCCATCATTAGATTGTACAATTCTCACCATTATAAACCACGATTTAAAGCCAAAGGAAAAAAGCCTTTGAACACCTGAGATCAGAGGGAGCAAGGGAAACAACGGGGG